AAATTGTACCAAGTTGGATCCTTGGCCATCATGCATTAAAATGCTTGATTGATGGTTTTGGATCCAATGGTGCTTCTCCTTTGATGTTTTGAGATGACAAGGAGTGGCACAGTACAGATATACCCTTGGGAGACCCTCCATTTTCCTCTGTTTTGTGCTCTGTTGCAGTTTGGTATTGCAGCACACCAGTGGCCGGCAGTGCTTCACTGATGGCCGGCACTACTTCATCTTTGGCCGGCAGTGCACATCCTTGGCCGGCAGATGGCCGACAGCAGCTTCCCATGGCCAGCAGGCCACTGGTGCACTCCCCAATAGTGGTTTGGTAAAATGGTGCAGAAAGTTCTTGGAGACACCCTGCAAATAGAGTCTCTCAAGAACAAACCAGAAGGCTTTTCGGGGCGAGAAAGCGAATGCATGGATCTTCTAATTTCCAAGCAAAGCTGAGGCAGTGGAGTTAGCATTTTACATGTTTAGTTAGTATACATTGGTTTTGTAATTTAATTAATTTGTTAATTAGTTAAGTGTTGTAATAATTAGTAAGTAGTTTGCTAGTTATTCGTTTGGTGTGTAATAATTAGTCTAATTAGCTTAATTAGATTTGTTAGATTAGCTTAGCTTATTCATTCAGGCCCTCCTTCATGAGGGCGCAATGTTGTAATAAGGGTGCGTGTGTGTGTGCTTGTCTTCTAACGCCATTTCTTTCTCCCTTTTACTACCACTTTCGATGGTTAGTTTTAGGATCATTTTCGATTAGCATACCTTATGCTTTACATGCGTGCATCATTCATTTGTCTTGCATACACCGGGCTCGACACATTATTCAAACTGCATCGTAATTCAATACCTACTTGAATACGTGTATCAAACTATTGCATTCATATGCCATCTTAGATAGCCGAGCCTATTTAATTGCATTATTGCATGTGTTGCATTAGGCATCTTAAACATAGTTAAGATCATGCATTGTTTCTAACTAGTTTTCTGTTTTGGCTCGGAGTACACTGTAAGTGTTACGTTTTAGCATACTTGTATGAGTGTGAGTGTTGCCATGATAACATGCTTTCCATGAGGCTATTTGCTTAAATGCTTAACTACATGAATGCCTGTGGGTGAAGTCTTGATTGCCTGAATTGGAACAACTTGATGATTGTGAGTTTTAAGCCCACTTTGCGAAGTGGCAAAATCATGTTTTCAAGCCCACTTGAGGGTGGCAAATCCACGCTTTAGCCTACTTGCGAGTAGCACTTTCAAACCATTTTCAAAAACAAACATAAGCTCATTTGTTCCAATTCTCGCGATTTTAGTCTATACTTGTATGTTGTGCGCATCACATAGTAAAGTTAGCTAATAATCAAGATAAGAGCACATGTGTTTATAAAACAACATATCATGGTAGTAGAGGCCGATCTTTGATCGGGTGAGCGGGGGTGCTCATTTCAGGACCTTCCTCTCTCGTACCCAAGTTCCCGAGCTAAGGCAATTTTGGTGATGAAGGACACGTGGCATTTGGCACGAGTCAGGGTTTCCTAAATTTCCCAAAAATAAGATACTTAGGTGGCAACTCTGTAATCTGGCAAAGCAGTCCATGTTTGGCGTTTTTTCATTCAAAATTGATTTTCCAAAACCAATTGCCAGATTTGGACTCTTTGGTGTTTATCAATCTCACATTGCACTTTGTGAGATTAGATTCAGAACCGTGACAGGAGTCTGAATTGTAGTAAGATCAATTCACTCCCACTCCAAAAGGGGGGCACACGAAGAAAGTCGGGTCTACACCAGCAGAGGACATGGAACCACCTGACTTATCTATGCCCCTAGTTTATTACTTTGACCTTTCTTTTCAAGTTTTATGATGTAAAAGCAACTTTGATTTAAATTAGAGAGTTGGAGAATGTGCTTGTGTTGAAATCAATGGAATTAAAGTTGCGAGCACTAAAAATTTTCCTTTTGGTCCCAAAATGGTCCAAGTTGTAAAAAGGTAAAATTTTGAATAACATCAACTTTTATTAAAACTTTTCAAAGCCGTTTTTGGGAATGATCACCTCCAGACACACATAGAATCATCCCTCAAGATGTACAGCCCCAAATCAACCGATCGCAATTGACCATAACTGTATTTGCCATACTAGCCCTTTTGCGAACATAAAGATCACACAACCGAGCTAACTAATAATGGAGAAATATGGCCTGATCAAATATGAACGAATAGGACAATTGAGTTGGAGATGGTTACGGCCGAACTTCAAGATGAAGTTGCCTACGTATCCCAAAGATGGGAATTAGGCCTTACGTAGTTTGGTTCAGGTTCACTTGAGTATTAACTCTCTCATTTTGCTCTCTAACTTTTGCCAAGGTCGCCCTTTTGGGTTTTCAACCTTGCGAGCTCAGTTTTTTTTATTTCTAATTTTTCATGCTCAAACTTTTGCCTATGTCGCCCTTCCGGGTTTTCGGCCTAGCAAGCCTCTCAGGGATAGTATTTCTTCAACTTGTCCATATTGATTGGCTATGACAATTTCAGGCCGTCCAAATCCATGAGAATAATCGCCCCTCCTGACCAAATTGACTTGATGATATAAGGACCAATCTAATTAGGTCTAAACTTGCCCCTAAGGTCATAGATGGGAGCCCAGTTGTCTTTCAGTACCATATCCCCTTCTTTGAGATTCCTAGACTCAACTTTCTTGTTAAAAGTCCTAGCAATTCGGCATTGATAGCCATGTACATGATACAATGCCCTTAGTTTTCTCTCATCAAACAACATTAATTCCTCAAATTTACTTTGTTGCCAGTCTGCCTCCGCTATCTGACACTTGGCCATAACTCGCAGCGACGACACTTCAATTTCAATTGGCAGAACAATCTATATCCCATAGACGAGAGAATAGGGGGTTGCCCCTGCAGATGTTTGGATTGAGGTTCTATAGCCACAGAGCACGAATGACAGTTTATCCAACCAGTCCCTTTATGTTTCCACCATCTTTCGCAAGATGTTCTTGATATTCTTGTTGGCGGCCTCAACAACTCCATTAGTCTGTGGTCTGTATGCCGATGACTTATGAAAAGCCACATTGTATTTCTCAAGCAAATCCACTACCTCTTTCTTGAAGTGTGAGCCGTTATCTGATATGATCTCGTTTGGAACTCCATATCAGGAAATGATGTTATTTCTGATGAATTTGGCTACATGCGATGCTTTCAACACCGCATGGGATTGAGCTTCCACCCACTTTGTGAAGTAGTCAATCGCCACCAGAATGAACTCGTGCCCATTTGACCCCTTTGGCAAGACAGCACCAATAACGTCGATTCCCCAGATTAAGAAAGACCATGGTAAAGTCATGTTGTAAAGCTTAGACAGCAGTATGTTCATGCGATTGGCATGAATTTGACATTTATGGAATTGCTATACAAAACCAATGCAATCCTCCTCCATGGTTGACCAGTAATAACCTTGTCTAAGAATCTTCCGGGCTAGCATCACATCATTCATGTGTGCCCCGCACTCTCCTCTGTGGATAGCCTCCATGAGGCGCTTCGATTCCTCTTCCTCCACACACAGCTTGTGCATTTCCAAATGACCTCTTTTATACAGCTTACCCCGCAGATGATAAATTGGACGACCAGACACCCTATTCCCTTTATTCCTTAGCATTTGCCCCTGGTGGATATGTCTCATTTTCCAAAAAGTTCCAAATATCGTAATACCAGGGATTTTTGTCTTGCACTTCATTTATTGTGGCAATAGTCTCATAAGTCTACGTGTATTTCTGTTTGATAATAATTGGACACATCTTCACTCCCAATAGGATGTCTACCATAGAAGATAGAGTTGCCAGTGCATCAGAGAAGCAGCTATTCTCTCTTAGCAGGTGCATGAATGTTAGTTTTTCAAACCTTGGAATCAAAATACCCAGGGCTTGATGGTAAACCTTTATCTTCTCTTCTTTGACTCTCCAGTCTCCGTTTGCTTAAGAGACAACCAAGTTTGAGTCCCCAATGACATCCAACCTTATTGCCCCTACACTACAAGAAATTGCATTTTTCGCAACGCAACAAAATATGTTGCTAAAAGGGAAAATTCGTTGGCAAAGAGTTTTGCCGACACACAAAGCTACGTTGGCAACCCGTAGGCAAAAGTGAGTTGGCAAAAGTTTTTGCCGACGAAATTATGATTGCGTTGGTAAAAGTAATGCCTTTAGCGACGAACATAGTCATCGCTAAAAGCCTCCATCCATCGTCGGCAATTTACCTTGCGTTGGTAAAAGTCATTCAAATATGATGATTGTGTGACACTTTTCGCGACACAAATTTGCATGGGCAAAAAATATACTTTTAGCAACAACATATGCGTTGGCAAAAGTAAACTTTTGGCGACACATTTACGTCGGTAAATGTTGCCATTTGCCGACGATTAGTTTGTCGCTAAAGCTTTACTTTTGGCAACGACAAATTGGCATTGGCAAAAAATACACTTCTACCAACAGAATATGAGTGGGGAAAAGTAACTTTTAGCGACACATTTACATCGGTAAATGTTGTCATTTGCCAACGATTTGGTTGTCGATAAAGCTTTAGTTTTGGCAACGACAAATTGGCATTGGCAAAAAATATACTTTTAGCAACACAATATGAGTGGGCAAAAATAAACTTTTAGCTATACATTTACCGACAAGTTATTTGTCGAGAAAGCTTCACTTTTTAACAACAACAAATTTGCAACGGCAAAAATAACTCATTTATAATTTTTTAAAAGATTTACAGATTTACAAGAGGCATCCCTCAGGCACCACTATAACAAACTAATAACATGGATATGAAATCACACAAAATACCCCCTCCATACCCTTCCAGCCAAAACACCAGCAGTTGCCCGAACTTACACCTAATGACAACCCCCATTAATGAAAACCTGATCTATTACAGATTGGACAAAAAGTCATGCACCCTTCCAAACATCAACAACACCAGCAACACCAGCAAACATCCAACAACACAGCAGCACCTTATCATAACAAACACCATCACAGCAGCATCACCACAGCATCTCAGCAACAGCAGCAACATCACAGCAGCACCAGAAGAATAGCAGATCAACAAACTGATTCAACACAGATCATCACCAGTTCAGAAAACCATTTCAACTCGGCAACCCAAACAAAATCATATAACCAAATCAGAATTGACGCAGCAGTTTACCTCATTTACTAAAACAGTCAGAAAACAAATCAAACAAAACCAGCAACAAAACAACTCAACCAAATCAGAAATCAGGACAAACAGATCGCATCAATCAAAAGCTGCATCAGAGGTAGAGCACACAGAACAGAGCCAATCAACACCAGATTCAACACAACACAACATCATGCCACAGAAGTATCCACCAAACAAGCTGCATCAATTGTTCAAACAGCCCTCAAAACTATACAATTCTTAGTAACTTTTAAGCCATCAGGTTAACAGAAGTTAAGTTAAGTAAAAATTCAAACTAATTCACTGGCTGTCATGTTTACACTAGGAGAGTAAGTTATATAAAAGCACTCAATTCAAGTACACCACAATGTTTACCAAGCTAACCTTATACCAATGCACTGGAAACAGTAAAAGTAACTAAGCATTGAGATTGTCCATACACCACAATGTTCACTGATGGCTCTCTTCATTGCTTTAGAATGTGACCAGGTTTTCAAAGTAGTCAGTCAATCCAGTGTTACATATGAGTGACAAGCAGCAGCAGCATTTTTTTTTTTTTTTTACTAAACTTATAAAAAAAGGTTATAAAAAAAAATAACTTATAGATTTGGGTAAATCTTATATGTTTTTACTAAACTTATAGATTGAAAACGACATATAGATTTGGGTAAATTTTACTAAACATAAGTTTTCTATTTATTCTATAACTGATATATAGTTATCTGTAGTCAGGAAACAACTCCCACTTCTAAGAGAAAATGGACCAGCATAATCTAGAGATGCAATTTATTGATGAGCAATACAAGTCGTATCCAGACTTCGGCAGCAAATTTTCAACATATCTGAAACAATTATCAAAGCAACAAGCAACTTATTACACTACATGTATAATAGATATACGACAATGGCATTATTACCTCAACTACAAAGAAATAAAAGACCACCAGCAGAATGCCTTTTAGTCAGCACAAACTTTAGGAGAGACAGCAGATGTTGTTCTGTAGTGTAATATATGATACCTAATTGACCATCTGATGCAGCAGACTTGACTCGGAATGACATTTTATTAATATTTTTTTTCATAAATAAGTTTGTACCATATTGACAGCATTGGTAATGTTCACCCCATATACTTTCTCCCAAGCCTGTGCAAGAACAGGTGTGTCTACTTAGCAAATGGCATGTTAATATTTACATAACCTCAAAGCAAGTAAAAAAGCCACATAATATAACTTTTATATAAAAGAAATTAGTTCATGAGAACAACCTTGATCAATGTGTCATCACCATCATTTCCATGACCATGAGAGGAGCCTATGAAAAGACAATTGAAAAGTAACAAAGTGAGTATCAGGTTGCTCCAAAACATTAATAGCTGCCACCTACAGATTATGGTTGTGAGAAACTGTAAATCATGCAGATACATACCTGCTATTAGTTGTTGAAAAGCAACTGCCAGAAGTGGAAGAGGAAATGTACATGATTTGGCCATATCCAAAACAATAACCTTCAAGTTGGACAAAAACCCATCAGGCATAATTGACTCATCCAGCCCTTGATAGAGCGAAATAGAGGAAAATGATTCATGTAACTGACACCACTTGATTGGGGACACAAGGCTTAGTTTGGTTTGGTTTAGTTTTAGCTTTGCAGTTCACAAAGAGATCTCTATTGAATAAGAGTTCAAAGATTTGAACAAGAATTTGTTTAGATTAGAATGACAAAGCTGTCCACTTAAGGTCTTTCCAATAAAGTGATTAAGCTGAATAGGATTTCAATATTTAAGATAACCAGCTTATTTTTTTCTCACATTAGCACTTCTACACTTCAATGCCTAGCCAAATAAGTCTTTTCTATTTTCTACTTCATAAAAACATAAGTTTTCTTAATGTGAACTTTTTTCGTACATTACTTTATTTTATCAACAATGAGTTCTTAAAAAAATAAGTGGATAAGAGACCCATTTAAGAATGTGATTCTGAATTGAGGTCTACCTTACAGTATCAATATCTCAAAAATCATTATTGAAAGTCTCAATGTGTCCAAATTCATTGATGAAGAAATGATCCTAAACATCTCACATGATCCTGGATCTGTGCAAGAATGAATTGGTCTCTACTTAATGATCATTGTATTGACAATCAAAACTGTAATGCTTCTAGAATTGCATGTCTGTGTGTAACATGGATGGACATTTATACTAAATCCACCACAAGAAAGGAAGCATAATTTGAATGGAATTATAAAACTGCAGTTAGCATTTAATTCACCCAAAATCCCCATTGAACTTAACTTCAAAGTCAAGAAGAAAAGAAATTACTCATAATACACTTGAACAACACTAAGAAACTTACAACATGAGAAGACTTACCAAATTTTGAACAAAGTATTCAGGAGATGTTTGGTTTGATTATCCCTTAGCAACTGGGGAACATGATTCTTGAAAACCTTGTAAAATTGAATCCAACGGAAGGATGTCTAGTAGCAAGGTAACACAGTATCTGCTTAAGAAAACGCTAGCAAATTCCAGGAATGTCATGAAAAAAAAAACTAACTACGGCATTTACATATACCAACACCAACCACCAAAGCCTTGAATACCTATTGAGTTAGTATAAAAATGCACAGATTTTTGAAAGTAAACAGATGTTCCCATGTATATGTATACATGTAAGCACATAACAAGAAGGGCTTTCAGTGTTCAATAAATTTTGCAGCTAATTTCTTTAAAGGCATGGGTTCTACAAAATCAGTTCATTGTCAGAAAGAGAAAGTGCCAATCAGTGCCATGGTCTCAACTGGTGCCCATGGTGCAAATCAGATTATTAGCAGTCTCATCTATCAAGGTTGTGCCTGATCTAGAATTGGCAATTTCAGATCAGAATGCTTATAAGGAATGCTTCAGGACTAGAAATATTTAAATTTTAAACACACAGCATAATCCTCAGTAAAGAATTGTGAACAATAATTTACCATGAATTTCCAGCAGCATTAGAAATAATGTCATAAATTATCCATGGATGAATACCAGCTTGGGCACCAAGAGAAATGGCCTCCACAGAAGAAACAAAATGAATGCCCTCAAGCAGCTCTATTACCATTTTAATTTTGCTGCAATTTAAAAAAGAAAAGTAGACATTAACAATAACATCATCTAATATGACATTAGAACACCTAACATAAATAAACAAAGAAAAAGGGCCATTCCCCTGTGCCAATCCCTGTTAAATTGGGTTAAACACCTAGCACAAACAAATTTACTATCAGGTGGCACAACCAAGACACAATTAAATTATCATTTGAAAAGCATTGTTCAAAGATATGAAATTACTTAAATTTGTATTGGAATATTCAAGAATTATTTAGTTGTAAGTTTATAGTAAATTAGATTTGACTTGGTTTACACAATCACTAGTGTAATATTAGGTCAGGTGTTGTTTTCTGCGCAAACCCATTAGTTTTTTTTTTTTAACCAAATTTTAATTCCACTTTTTGTTTCCAATATTTACATGTTATTAAAGCCATATCACTACTAAGAAGCAGCCTATCAGTTCTTGTATTCCTGTCAAGTAAAAAAAATCTCCTATGGTTTCCTGGTGCTGTCTTGTGAATTTTCTAGTCTCCAATGGTTCAATAGCTACATGTTGAATATTGTTATAATTTAGCAATAAAAAGAGACAAAATGCTATATATTAGCAATGTTGCTCCAATGATGACTTTGCTCCCTCCATTTATTCTCCCATTTCAACTATCATTTCAAAATAACAAGTACATGCTACTTAATCAAACTTTATTAACTTAATTTAGAGTTACATACTGCAAAATAAAATAAAATAAGACATAATCATGGAAGAGGAAGAACATAATAATCTGAGTTGCTTGATCATGCCAAAATTTTTGTGCCTGATCGTTCATTTAGAGGTATCTCAAGTCAGCTCTTGTGAAATGGATCCTGTGCTCTAACCATGATCACTTAAAATTGAAAGCATTTAGTGATACAAATTGGGTTGGTTCAGTCGATGATAGACAAAATGCAAACATATGTGTGTATAAGAAGAGAACATGTGCCTACTTTTGGTGTCTCTCATTAGCCTTTTCCTGTATTTCTCTCTCTCTCTCTCTCTCTCTCTCTCTCTCTCTATCTCTCTCTTCTTGTCTTCATCTTTTACCCTAAATTTAATTGTCACCAATTTTATATGAAAATTTGTCTCAACAACACAATTCAAATTGTTCTAAAATCTAAACATGACAAAGAAATTGGTAAGATTGTGAAGAAAGCCCACCTTCCAGCACCAAGTGCCCCCTCAAAAACATAAAGTTTCTCACTCATAGCTGTTTGAAAAACACAATAGTTTGTCTTAGAGATGAAATAGAAAATTTAAAAGTAGTGATCAGAAAACTGAATCCTCATGCAAGTGTTGCAGAGTAGTGACATAAGTAGATTGTACCAGAGAGAATAGTGCGTGCCCTTGTAATGGCATCCTACTGTCCTGATGAAATAATCTGCGTATTATAGAAATATCAGCTTCAGCCAGTTATAAAATAGAAAAACAAAAGCAAAATGATCCTCTACTTATGTGAGGAAGAAATAGGATATGAGATATATAATCTTACCATTATTTTGCCATTCAAAACCTCTGGCATTCCCTTTGAGACATATATATCAACTACAAAAACTCTCTCCAAATCCTCTGCTAGAGTAGAAACAGATTAATGATTAGAGGAGTTAGAAAATGTTCAATGCAGATGTAATTTTAGCACAAGCTGAGCAAACACCAAATTCTTTCTTTTGCTTTTCCATTAAGTTAGATGTAACCAGTAACCAGTAGACTTCTAAGGCATAAAATTGGTATAATAGTAAAGAACACATTATTATTGAATGTTCTACTCTCTTCTCTTTTCTTTTCTTTTCTTTTTTTCTTTTTTTGATAAGTAAATAAAGTATAGATTCATAGAACACAAAGGGTCATCACCCCTGTACATTAGAGATTTGCAGACAGAAGAACAAAAAACAAAACAAAAAAAGAAAGATAGACATTAAACCTTCCCCAAAAGATAAACTATATTCTCTCCCTAAAACTTAATTCTCCTGAAAAAATCCACCAAAAAAAAGGAAAAGTCACAAGCCTTCTCCTTCATCTAAGTAAGGTTAGCATTAGCCTATGAGTAGCCATCTCTATACCCTCCAAGGCACATTGATTTCTTTCTCCAAACACACCAAATTAAGCACATAGAAACTACCATCCATATGCCTTCTCAATCATCCTCATATGACACCTGAGTTCAACAACCATAGAAGCTGTAACACAAAAGCAAGCATAACACAAATCACCTGAAAAATAGAAAATAAGAAACTCTATAAATCTCTCACAGCGTAATATATCAAAAGATGATCAACAAACTCCTCAGCTTGCTTGCACATGCAACACCAGCTAAACTAAAAAGTAGCCCCTTTGGCGCAAATTGTTTATATTAAGAATGGCATCAAAAGCCGCCATCCAAGCAAAAAAGACAACTTTGGTGGGAACTCCCAACTTCCAAATAGTCTTCCAAGTAAATATCCCAACCCCCAACCACAAATGAAAAAATAAAATGATTTAACTATGAACTTTCTCCCTTGTCCTTCCATTTCAACTCACCTCCCCTGCCCTCATTAACCTTCATATCAATAATGGAGGGCATGATCCACTAGGCAGAGTTAAAAAGTTGCTAAAGCTCTATAATCTCATTAATGGAAAAATAAAGATAACAACAACTATGGCCGTCTATGATAAATCTTGAGTAAAAATGATGAATCAGAAAAAAAAAGAAAAGAAAGAGTATCATAACACACTGTTGAGTTGCCGATAAATCTAATACTAACTAGCACAAAACTACGACGACATCCACCAACAAACCAGATAGAACAGAAAAGTTAACCAAGAGTATAAAAGAAAATTCTATACAAATATTTTTTTTATCTAGAGAAAATAAATTGCCTCTGAGTCGCTTCTCGAGCTTCTGTATATGAGCAGGTAGTATGGTTGAATGGAGAATGATGACAGCATCTTTGTGTAACCCTGTAAAACCAAAAAATAGTATATTCTGAACATCAACCAAGCAGACTAATTATAAATTCAGAAAACATTAAGGATCTCCACAAAACCTTTTAAAGCACTCTCATGACCAAAAAGTAGGTCATTTATTTAATCTGCATGAGATATCAATACAACCAAAGCTACAACATCTGCATGCAAAGAAATGAGAGAAGGAAGCATCAGAAAGTCAATTTTTAGCTCTTCAAAAAAATAAGGTCACAATTTATAGAGAAAATAAAAGAAGAACGTATTCAGTCATCTATGATCCAAAAGTATATATATATCATTGTTTGTAGGTGTTTCTTTAGGTAGCTAAATGTACTGAGTTTTTGGTGCCTTCTAAGTTTTTGGTGTGTTAGAGAGTCCTTTTGTCTTTTGGGGGGTTTATGTGCAAGTTTGGGTAATTGATACCACCAAAGAAATTGAATCTATCCAGCTCAAAATGAGAAAAATAAAATTAGAATTATGAAATAGCAACAAATTAAAATCAACATAATGCTTCACCTTTCCCAGCTTCTACGGGACTGGCGCATCTAATCCCGCCTTGATTGGTAAACTCATCCAGCAAAGGACTGCATGTCTGCAGATAAGCACAATGCAATCCAACATTGAAATTGTGACAAACAAAAAATAAGACTATACTAGTTGTTACCTTATGCATGCCCGACAGGTGCAACTTCACCCACATTCCGCAAACCATTCACTTCCTTAGTTGTATACACAGCACACCACATGTTGCAGAAGTTTCACATATAACAACTGCTGATTTAGCAAGTTCATCATCAGATGGATTGGCAGTATGCACGCCTCACAGCAACATTGCAGCAGCAGCAGCCGCAGCAAGCATCAGCCACCACGGCAGCAGTAGCAGCAGCAACCAACAGAATTAAAGATGAAGCCATTTTTTCTTTCTTTTGGGAACAAAAAATGAATTTGAAAACAAGTTACTACAAATGCATATTAAAAATGCAAGATAAAATAAGACACATTGACACCCTATACTTCTTTCTTGATGATTAAAATATTGTTAGCCTAACCATCTAAAACAAATTCAATCTTAGCTTCCCATGACCTATTATTACTTAGCAATTCATACTACACCTAAACCCTAATTGATCCACTTCCTGAACGTGTATTTCTAAGTAACCTGTATTTCTCTGTAAAACATACAAAAAAAAACCTTTACATAACATTGCGTAAAAACTAAACTGAACACATCATAACAATTAGTAACGTAACCAAATTAATATCAAATGCATTTCAATATCCCAAATTTTATTCAAATATCCAACAATACTAAACATAAGAATCCTAAAATGCGTCTAACTATATCCAACAATCCCAAACATAATAATGTCAAAAAGTATATAAACATTCAACAGAAAAACCTATAAAACGAAACAAAGAAAAATTAAATGAATGCCAACGTGCAAAACGATATATATCACTACTGAACCACGAACATCCATAACATGAGTATTTTATTAATGCATTAACTTCAACAATAATATACAATTTTATTAGGATTGGTTAAATAAAGTAAATCAATTTAATGAGGTGTCAAATTTACCTCTATTTCAATCGAGAGAAGTTGCATCCTCCCTTACACCCGATGCATCCTACCCGACACTGTTGCTTGGAACTAACCCCGGAATGTTTGCTAGATCTATCCCATTTTTTTGCTGCCAACATTTGAATGATAGTTTGCATTGTACTCATGTTTTGAGCCTGGTCAACTAACTGCTTTCCTTGGCCAGCTAATTGTTGTCGCTGGTCAACTAACTGCTGTTGAAGAACAATCACCTCGGAGTTAGGAGCCTCAAAAGGTGTAGAAGATGAAGTACTGTCCTTGCGGATCCCTTATCCCTTCAAGTAGACCGACCTCTTCCCAAGTACTTCTCTGGAAATCTGCTCCTCAGACAATGGATGTGTGACACTAGGTTGAGATTGCTCAGCGATCTTTGAAACCATAGTGGCCTATGAATGAAACATAAATAAGCTTAAAACATAATATCAAAATGCAAACATTTATTATTGAAATTGAAATAGTTATGGTTACATGATGTTCCTCAGCTGTGTTATTTATCCACACTCCCACATGTCAGTGACGTTTGTGGGTGTCCTCGAATAGTTTCATAATAGTCGTTTTGCTTCCTTGTACCTTTCATTTCATTAGATTTTCTAGTCAATCAATAATTTTGTATTTATAATTTAGTATGTTCAAATTTGTAAATCTACACTTACAATGATAGATGCTCGCGATGCAAATGATCTCGAGCCGCTCGTATGATTATACTTCACACAACCTCTCGCTTTCATCGCATTCTTTGACTTTACCTACAAATTAAAAAAAGAAAATTAGGTATTAATATACAGGAGGATGTTACTTTAGTAAATATTTTTATAAATACCTTTCAATCATCAGTTTCCCACAGATTGTCAATCATCCATTCCCAATCATCCTTTGTACAACGATATAGTATCTGACTTTTGAGGTCAGATACATTGTCTTCTTTAAGGGATTTGTAGTGTGTGTGTAATCTACTTTTCCATTCACTGTACAAAGTTTGGCACTTATGATCAATAATACATCTCACATCCACATCATTATTGTAGTCCCCAAAGTCAAAAGTTTGCTGCAATTGGAAATAATAAAATTCAATATATTTTATATATCATTGCGATTAACATAAATAACATGTTAAATATATAACACATATATTTCAAATTACCCCAACTCTTGTAACAATGGACTCTCTTAACCCAAAGGCAATTTCTAGCCATCCATCATTTCGAACTGGGGCATGAACTCGAATTTGTTGACCAAGAGCAGCTGCTAGCGGTGTGGCGTAATCCCCTTCTATTGCTTTGGTCGAACGGTTAAGTGTAACGGGTATTCGATCACCACGTTCCTTTTTAATCTTCTCCACATTCTTTCCTCAGGTCGGTCCTCGTACACATTTCTTGCCCAAAACTAGAATTGATGCTATTATGACCAAAATTTTATTCAATTTAGTCGACATAAAACATGAATGCACTAAATAAATATTGAGATAAGAAATTATCATTTCATTTAAGTGTTCATTTATTTCTACCTCCACTATTAGTCACAATACATGGACTTGAAAGGTGGTCAGGTTAAGTGGCAGAGGTAGGGAGCTGATCGGGCCTAGTATGTAAGGCGGGAAGATGGATAGGATGGGTCGAGACCTCAGGTGTGCTCTCTGAATGATTAACTTGTTCAGCTACAGGTCGTCTCAGAAGATTAAGTGTATCTTCATCAACAGTACTTCTCTTTTCCCTAGGTGTTTGTGAAGCTATTAGGTGAGCTGCATACCTATTTGTTTTCTTACCGGGACCCATATGAATATCCTGACATAATATAAAAAAGAATTGTTAGTACATTTTAAATAAGTTAAGGTTGCTTAATAAAAAATAAATTTGAAATAACTAAACATACCACAAGTAATATAACAAGTGAAAAAAATAGAGAAACTACTTTTTAAACACACATTTATTACCTCAATCACTTGAGAATCAAAAGGCTAGCCATCATCACTTGAAGAACTCAGTCCTTCATCATCATCAAGTGGTTGATAGTCCTCGTCATTATTAGTTTCACCCACCTTTCTCTTTCCCACCCTACAACTTTCACTATTGTCCTTTTCAATAGAACCAAACATTGAATTCTTGAGGGACTTTATCCCTAGAGCATCAAATCTAATTTTATTTTTCTGGATTGTTTTTTTCCTATCCTTCTCATATTTCAACATCTTCTGGACTAAGCCGCTGGGCTTCAGAAATGATTTACCGTTTCTAGACATCTTTGTAACTGTACATATGGCATATAATTAAATGAAATGAAATAAGAAACAATGCTTATGAAATTTGAAAAACAATGCCATGCAATGTAAACCAAGCAATTTATTATTAAATTATAACACTTGTCCATATAATTAAAAATTAAACACTACATATCATAATCTATATCAAGATCTATATCAAACACTACATATCATAACCTATATCAAGATCTCTATCAGGATCTACATCAACATTAGGTTGTCTATGCAGTTCATCATCTTCATCATCATTATACTCTATGATTGTGTCATCCTCGTCATCGTTGTGAACTAAATTCTCTGCCATTAGTTGATCATTGAAAATGATCTCAGGATCCATATCATCCCTGCTGTATTGTACATCATTATCTTGGATCACTACCCTAACACCATCAGTGGTTTCATCCTGTTGAAAAGCATCATTAGAGACATCATCCCGCTCTGGTATATCCCATACTCCCCGATGCTTAACACGTTCAACGACTCTCCAATTTTTGCCTTTGCTGGTATCATTGACGTAGAATACTTGTCTTACTTGACTAGGTAGAACAAATTGGTCATCCTTATACCAACGTCTTGTAACATCAATACTTGTGACATGTTCATCGGAGTATATTCTATTCTTGTGACCGGTGTCATACCATTCACATTGGAACAAAACCAATGTACCCCCATGCAAGTATTTCAATTCCCATATTTTGCACAAGTAGCCGTAAAAATTAATTTGGTTCCCACTACGGTCCCCTTCTACGACCAACCCACTATTTTTCCAGGTACGACGATTTTCACGGTTTCTAGTTTGGAATCGAATTCCATTGTAGATGCACCCAGAATAAAAGTCAATTACCGATATAGGACCATTTGCTAATGACCACAATTCGTCAGTTGCTTCAGGTGACCCTTTCGTTCGCAAATCAGTCATCTACATAAAATACCATATAACAAGTGTACTAAGTTAATGTGAATTGAAAGTTTCAACAATTGTATTCAGTTATTTTCTTTAGTATATCTTACACGATTTTTGAACCATTTTGGAAATTCTTCTCGTTGTACCCGAGTTATGTCACGTCCTTGTAGATTATGTAAAATATCCTTCTGCTCCCTTCCCAAGGAAATGTAATATACGTAATTAACTTTGAGAGTTCGAAACAAAATGGAACGATGATGCATAAACGTAATTAAACTTAAATACATACTCAATATATGGCTCCACCTCAGAGCTATTGTACAACACAAACCAGTGAGCCATTTCTCGTTCATTTTGCGAAGGGTCAAGAGCCCTTGTGATAGGTGAGAATAGACGGGCATTTTGGGTGAAGACCTCCATCCCAGTACCACGTTCACCACCATCATCATTTCATTCAAGTTTATCAATCTCTTTTAAGTACATTGAACAAAAAGTAAGACACTCTTTGACAATGTAAGCCTCAGCGATAGAACCTTCTAGACGTGCTCTATTACTGACATACCCTTTCAAAGTCCCGAGAAACCTTCAACAAAAATTGACAATGAAAATTATGCTTCTTGATGCAAGAAAATTACTTCTTAAACAATAGTCTTTTATGGGTGGATTTTTGCACAATAGTTTAGTTATAACAAATTAATAAATAACCATATGTTCATAATGATTACCTTTCGATCGGGTACATCCATCGATATTGCACCAGTCCAGCAAACATGGCCTCACGGGGCAAGTGAACAGCCAAATGGACCATCACATCAAAGAAAGCTAGAGGAAAATTTTTCTCCAACTTGCAAAGTATGAGCAAAATTCGTTCCTTCATTTTTTCCAAATCAGTCTGCCTTAATGTTTTTTAGCACAGTTCTTGGAAGAAGTTGCCCAACTCAAATAGTGTTGTACAGATCTCCTTGTTCACAAAACCACGCATGCCAATTGGTAGAAGTCGCTGAAGCAGAACATGACAATCATGGCTTTTCATGCCCGATAATCTTCCATTTTTAGAAGTCACACATCTTGAGATGTTTGCTGCATTGCCATCTGGATAACTAATAGACTTCAAGAATTCACAAAAACCATCTATTTGTCGAGAATCCAATGTGTAGGCTGCCCTAGGCTTTACAACGGATCCGTTATCTTTTCTCTGTAGGTGCAATTCTTGCCTTATGCCCATTTCTTGCAAATCATCACGTGCTTTGTATGTGTCCTTGTTTTTCCCATCTATGGCCAACATCGTCCCGTAATAGTTTTCACAAATATTCTTCTCAATGTGCATGACATCAAGATTGTGTCAGAGGTTTAATTTCTTCCAATACGGTAGCTCCCACATTATGCTTTTCTTTGTCCAATTCAATTCTTCAGACTCTCGTGGTCTTTTCTTGTTGGTAGGATCCTTTCCAAACTTGACTTCCCGCAATTGATCCAATTGAGCCATTACTTTTTCCACCGGTAAATCCAAGGATTTCTTTCTAAGCTCAGTTGAACCATCAAACTTCTTCTCTTTCCTCCAAAGGTGGTTATCAGGCAAGTAAGCTCGATGACCCACCCACTCAATCTTACTGATCAACCGCGTGACAACGGATTATCATTACAAGGAGGGCAAGACAAATAACCTCTAGTTCTCCATTCGAATAAGTCACCATATGCAGGGAAGTCATTTATGGTCCACATTACAGCTGCATGCATCCGGAAGGTCTGTTCAATGGAGGCATCGTAAGTCATGACGCCATTCTCCCACAACTCCTTCAACTCATCAATCAACGGCCTTAGGTAGACATCAATATCAGTCCCTGGTTGATTATGTCCAGGAATAAGTAAGGGCATCATGAAAAAAGGGGCCTTCATACATCTCCAAGGTGGGAGGTTATAGGGCATGAGTATGACAGGCCACATGCTGTAGGAAGTGCTCATGTTCCCAAAAGGGTTAAACCCATCGGTGGCTAGGCCCAACCTAACATTGCGAGTTTCCTGGGCAAACTCTGGATAATGCAAATCAAATTCCTTCCACTCTTTACAATCATCCGGATGCCTCCCTACACCATCATCCATACGCTTATCACTATGCCATCTCATGTCTTTTGCCGTCTTCCTAGACATGTACAATTTTCTCAACCTAGGTGTCAATGGGAAGTAACGCAATATCTTGTGAGGGATCTTCTTACCCTTGCTATCATTTACTCTGTACCTAGATGCTTGACATGTGGGACATTTTTCCAAGTGAGCATTCTCTTTCCAGAATAGTACACAATCATGTTTACATGCATCGATGGGCTCATACCCGAAGCCCAAGTCACGTAGTAACTTCTTGCACTCGTAAATTGACCCTGGCACCACGTGGCCTTCTGGTAGGAATCGCCTTTGTATCTCCAAAACCATGTCAAAAGACTTATTGCTCCACCTATTTTCTACCTTCACATGTAGCATCTGAATAATGAATGATAACAAAGTATCCGAGTTTTTGCAACCTGGGTACAAGCAACATTGGGAAGCATCTAACAATTTATCAAAGTGTCGTACATCCTCTCTTTCTAGAGTATCACCCTCCATAAAATTCCCCCTTTGATAGTCCTCTATCAGTTCATCATATTCATCTTTATCCTCGTCATTCTCACCATTGCTTTCATCAAGGTTATTGTGTTCTGGAAGTTCACCGTGTTCTAACCAAATGGTGTATGATACTATCATCCCACTTATGAGCAAATGAGCCTTCACAATATCATACTCATGCTTATAAAAGTTACAACAATTTATGCATGGGCACTTAATCTCCCTAGCCTCACCCAAATGAACCTTTGCAAATTCAATAAATGAGTTCACCCCATCTACATATGGCTGACTGAATCTATCAAAAATTAACATCAACTCCTGTCCATATCCGATCATAAGATAGTAGTTAATACCAATAGGACACAACCTTTTATTTATTATTATTATTATTAGTATTATTATTTATTTATTTATTTTTTAAACATGAAGACAAAGTAGTTAATATAAGTGTAGAGTGACACATCATCGTCAATAAAGGTGCATCTACCTATAGGCTTTTTTAATTTTGTATCAAGGTTT